GTTAAACCCTTCAAATCTTTAAGTTTAAAGGCCAAAAACTTAATAATATAAGACAAAATGTTAAAAGTTTTATATTAAATAAGTAACTAACTAAATGCATATTTTAGCCTTTTAATTCCGACTGGATTATTATTATCCTTATTATAGTTAGTGCCTTAGTGGCCCAAAAGAGTTATCTATTGGGTTATATCTTAGCTGGGCTTGCATCGGGTACAGAGATTGTAGTAAAATGTTTTAACGAATAGCAGATAGACCAAGCCCAAGATGTTTGCGTTAAACAGACGCAAACAGATCCGATTGGCTTCTACGATATTTGGGCCGTGGGCCTAATTATAGACCTTAAAAAACACTATCGCCAGAGCATTCTTCGGCTATTTCCAGTTTTCCGCCGACCTGGTTTGTTGATGCGAGTACCACGCTTTGCGCCACCCGGGGATGTTGGAGCTTACAAAGTAATTTATTTTAAAAACTAGCTTCTACAAGTGATTTTTAATTAAAATTTTAAAAAGTTTAAAATGTATAATTTTCTCAAAAATTACTTTAAAATCACCTTGAAAAAATTAATTTTTAAATTTTTCTATAATAAAATTTTAAATTTGTGATATTGTTAAACAACTTAATTTTTAAACTCAACCAAACACCCTCAATTGGTAGAACTTAAAAGACAACTTGTTTAAAAGCAATTTCTTTACTTACAAATTTAAAATTTTGTTGGGGAAAGTTTAAAAATTAACTTTTAAGTAATTTTGAAAAAAATTACACATTCAATTTTTTTCAGATTTATTAAAAATTAATTTTAAAATTTTTCTCCAACAAAATTATAAATTTATAAAAGAACTTTTTAAAAATTTTCAAAACGCCCTCACTATTATTTGCTATCCTCTTTTTGAAAATTGTGAACTCATCCATTGGAAAAATCTACATTTTCATAGAGTAACGGGTAAAGTTATGGAAGGACGGGGGAAGATTAGTTGGGTGAGTTGGGATAGTGTGTGTAGGACAAAGAAAGAGGCGGGTTTGGGTGTGAGGAATTTAAGGCGGTTTAATATAGGTTTATTAGTTAAATGGTGGGGGAGGATTGCTAAAGGGGAACAGGGACTTTAGCGAAAGGTGTTGGAGGAAAAATATGTGCAACGGTAGTTCCGAAGTGCTCAACCTCAGATGTACGATAGTAATTTTGTATAATCGAAGTGAATGATAAATCTCAAACTTCTCGTTCAAATAGCTGCATGATAACAACAATAAGTATGCCCGCACTTGATTCCTTATGATAAGCTGCACAACAATTATGATGGACATCCTTGCATAGGAATATCTCTCAATTTCTCAGTCTTAAAATAACCGTTTGGAAAGACACGTCAAACTCTGATTATCTTGCTTAGCATGACACATGGATTTCTCTGCATCAATATCTGCATTTTACAATTTTTTTTTTTGAACAGATTTTTACAAAGAGCTGGGTTTGAACCCCAGCCCTAGGGGAGGGGGAATACGAGTAGCTATTACCACTTGACACTTGACCCGAAGGACTCGGTGTGAAATTTTTGACAATTTAAAGGTGCTCTTGTATTAATATATCATAAAGGACGGTTTGACTCTTGTAAATTTATACTTTTTAATTTAAAATGTTTATGGGGTTGTGATATTTCTTGGATTTTGTTTTTTA